GATCAACGGTTTGTTGTCACACGTCACTCGTCCAGAAGGCCTGGTGTCGTGGTGTGGGGTGCAGTTTCGTACGATGCCAGATCACCTTTGGTCTTCAGTACAGGCACTTTGACAGCCCAGCATTATGTTAATGAGGCCCTGCAACCAGTGGCCCCACCATTCCACACTCTGGTGTGCTGTTCCAACATCAACACTCCACCCCCACCGCAAAATCTGCAGGAACTGCATGAGAATATTCAAGCTGCATGGGACGGATTATCGTAGGACACCATTGGGAACCTCCATGCCGAGATGTCTGGCATGTTGCGTTGGCAAACATGGCGGCCTGACCCCAAACTGAGAGACGCTACTTCTGCAGGTGTAGCTCGAAAAATATCGTCCATATCAGCCTCCAAAGTTCAGTCTTAGAAGTTGGTTGCTTTTCATGTCTCACAATCCAAGCAATCTAGTGTTGAGTAGCTGTATCTCTAGAGCTGTGCTCTGTCTGTCTGTCTGTCTGTCTATCTATCTATCTATCTGTATTAATCTACTGTACCATCTTTTTTAGACCTGGGTTTGTGTATAAAAATACTGTGTGGGAATAAAAATGCATATGAACGCATTACTTCATCAGGCTCTGACCGTAAGAGAGACCAGGAGTGGAATTTAAAATATGCCTTATTATCATGCAAACTAATTTAAAAGGTACATTTTAATCTCTGACTTTTTTTCAATCAAATAATTGAGTTTATTCCAGTAATTGCGGCTGCCCTAATGTACGTATATGCGAGTGGTTTGGGTTTGTCATTATCTGCCTGTCATTCAGCCTCTGCTTTACCTAGTTTACATATCGCGTGAGTGACACGGCTGTACCATGAAACAGTCCGGGCCCAAATCAATTCCACAGTGAGTAATAGTCGCTCTATAATCTGCTCAGACCAAACAGATACTGTCAAAGGAGAGATGGGGAGGCAGAGCCTTATCTGCAGAACGCTGAACAGTCCAGAAATAGACTCCTTCCTCAAAACATGCTGAAGTGAGCTTGGGGAAAGGGCTTGAATTCAGGGTCCTGTTAGTGTTTAGATGGGGACATGCTTGAATGCGGGTCAAAAACGTATGGAAAGAGGAGCTACAAAATGGAAAAGGTCACCGGCGCTTTCTGCAGGAGCACATAATGTACCCTGTCGTGCTGCGTTGTGTGACTCATCTTCGTGCAGAAACATAAACACACATAAAACTGCCTCCACCTCGTATGAAAACTGTTGTGGGTTGCCTCTTCGGCACCTTCTCGACTAAACAGGCTTGCTGATGTACTTCGTGAGTCTCCTTCGACACATAAAAGCAGGCGAATTCTCACGTTTGCCATCCTGGCGTTGGTTTCTTTTGATGCTGATTGCTGATGGTGCACGAGCCGGTCTCAGAGCTTTCCCCAGCCGCTCCGTTTGTGTGCTTTAAATCAGGCCACGGTTATGACACCACCGTCTCCAGCCCTTAAAGGGGCAGCACTTGTGTTTTATTCTTCAGAAAGAAAGCTGTGCCTGTTAAAAGGAACCACCCTCCATCTTTGAATTTATATCCGCAGGTTTCCGTGACAGTTCGGGCTCTTAGCTGACGTGACATTTTTATACACAGATCAGGAGATTTGCGAAGGCGTTCTGATTTATTCTGGGGTGCGACTGAAGAACCTGTGGCGTCTGAAGTTCGCTGGAGCTACAGTACTGTGCAGAAGTCAGAGACCACCCCTTGATTATTTAACTTCCTGTAGGAATCTACTAGTTCTACAAAGTTAGATTGGTTTATAATATTCTATTAATTAATAATAATAATAATAATAATTTTTATTTATATAGCACTTTTCATGCCGGTGGCAGCTCAAAGTGCTTGACAGATAGGTGATAAAACAGATATACAAGTCATTAGTATTTAATTAATTAGGGGTCAGTGATGGCCCATGCCTTTTCTGACAGTATTGTGTAAAAGTCAGAGACCACCCTTTATTTATTTCCTGTCAAAATGGCCATTAAGTACAAGTGCCTTTTTCATGACATTAGATACAAGATATATTTAGGGGAATAATATTGTGATGTATATTATCACACATATAGGAAAATGTTACAGTAAAAATGACTCGAGGTCACTCTTGCTGATTCTTACAAGGTTAGATTGGTTTATAACATCATATTAATTAGAAGTTTGCAGCCTATGCCTTTTTGACCGTATGGTGCAAACGTAAGAGACAATCACACTACAAGTTATTCATTTTTGAGATGTTGCTGAGGAGATTAGATGCAAGATACTCCACTTGCAAAGAAGGAAAAAGTTAATACAAATGAAATAATTAAATTAATAAAAAAAAAAACAGGAGTTTCTGAAACTGGAGTCCAAAAACTGATTAAAAGCTACAGAGAAAATGAGACTCCTAACAACCACCTGGAAGACCTGGTAGACACCAAAACTGCATGCACACCTTTGTCTGAAACCAGATATGCATGTTTATGTGGTTTCTGACACTATATGACTCATTTTTACGTATTAAAATGGACAAACGTACATTGAATGGCTAGATAGTAGTGACCATTTTGAAGTGACCACTCTTAACAACTATACACAATTTGAGGCAAGTGTGTGGTAACTAAGGCCAGAGTGCTACAGTGCTAAACTAGTGGCTATGAGCTACCACTCATTGTCAGCTACAGTTAGCTGTGTAGCTCCAGTGCAAAGCTAAAGAAGCAAATGTGGAACAGCAGACCTGCCTATACGGCTTGGCTGGTCCACTGTATTTAGGGTAAGGTCAAAAATTGCAAACGCTAGTGCATATTTGGGGGGCGGGGCTTGCCCCTCCCACTTTTCAAAATTGGGCAGGATCATAAAATTTGAGATGTATTGCTAAAATATTTATAATAACATAAAGATCAGACTAAGAAATGACACTTTAATAAGCAATGACATTGTAATTGTCATCAAAATTCTACTAAATATGTATGATATTAATAATAGTGTTTATTTTTGTGTTTTACTGACATTTAAAGCCTGATATATCAATGTGATAAGTGTAATTGTTGGCATACTTTGTTTACTCAGCTTTACGTTCGTATTGCTGTATGTACGGTCTTGAAAGAGATGATTCTTCAAGGGTTCTTTAGTACAGAAAATGGTAAATAGAACCATGAACACTCAAAGGACCCTAGGCATGGTCAAGTGGTTCTTCAGATACCACCAGATAGCACCAAAAAGGGGTCTGCTGTTGTTACAATGACAAGCCTATAACAATAGTACAACCATTTTTGGTACAGCACAGTTTCCATCAATCTGAAGAACTATTTCACCATGCGAAGAACAGTTTGACCACACAATGGGTTCTTTGAGTGTTCTCGATTCTATATAGAACCATTTTCTTCACCATAGAACTCCTGAAGAGCCATCTCTTTTAAGACCCCTGACTTGTAAAACCAATTTGGACTCGTGATTGCAAACATTTCCCTGAACTGTCTGAACTGTCGCTTTAATGGGCTTGTTTGTACCGGAATGGCTTCATTCCTCCTTCTGTCCCGTTTCTTTTTTTTGAGCCGCGAGTCCTGAGCTCACCTGGAGTCATTAAGTTAGTATGCGTTCTCATTAAGGCCTCGTTTCGGGCAGAAAGAAAGCACAAATGAGCAGATGTGTGTGTGTCTGTGTGTGTGTGTGTTTGTGTGAGAGACCACTGGGGTTTTAACGATGGCAGCCCCTCACCCGCCCCTCCGCTTAGTGGTGTCCTGGCCCTTCATTAGGCACCGTGCAAATACACAGAGACGAGGTTGTATGTGCACAATTTCAAAAAGCATCAATATTTCAGAAGGGAAGCAGAACAGCAGCACAGACTGAGAGAGAGAGAGAGAGAGAGAGAGAGACACACACAACACTCTCCGCACTGTATTTAGCCAGAGCCTCAGGGGTGCGGGGGTTGGGGGGGGGGTTAGACGGAGAGAAAACACTCGTTATTTGGGAAGATGCACAGAGCCTCAGCCGGTAGAAAAAAAGTGCTGGAAGGAAAAACACCAGGGCCAAAGCAGACACTCCAAACGAGGCGATTTTCTCACGAAGGCGATAAAAAAAGTCCACTGACGTGTTGAACATAATCTCTTGATGAGGCGTTCAAGGGATGAACTGGATCATTTAGATGGATTATACATTTCTGGCTGTTTTTTTTCTCCGAGCATGTTATTTTTTTATGCCAGATTAGAGCAGATTGACTTCAGTCCTGTCCAGATTGAGTTTAGTGTCTCTCTCTCAGTGACCAAAAGCAGGCCGGCTGTAAAGGAGAAGAACACAAACGAGGCTAGAAAAGCATAACAGTCTTTAGCCAGCAGTCACCCCCCCCCCGACAGTGGATAAAAACACGACTGAGATGTTAGGTAAGCGCAGTGCGTGAATCAATAGCACCATCTGGTGGATCCTTTGGGGGCTGAACCTTCTGGATCTTGTTGAACCTTGATGAAGATTTCATATAAGTGCTGGGCTGTATATCAGCACCGGTATGATGGTGTTACACTGCAGTATAGATTATTGATAGGTGAGTAAAATCTGGGTTAACTGCAGTGAATGGCATGTTTTGAGTCTTGTAGTTTGTTTGGAAAGAATGGCTCAAAATACATAATAAACTAAAAAAATCGCTGAGAAAACCTCGTATCTCCAAAATGGTAACTTTACAGGAGAAGGGAAAAACCTGCTTTACTTTTAATGTAAGTCAATGGAACCAGACGTTTTTTACCAAGTGATTTTGGGTCGTTTCTTTGGTGTTATCATCATGAAATTTACATACAATGTAAAGAGCAACAGGCATTTTTAAATTACATCAAAAACTGAAAAATGTCAAAAATGGAGAGGTTTTGTTCTGACAGCAGCGACAAACCCAGTAGACGTTATTGAGTCGCTGCATATTCACTGGTGCTGCTTTGTAATCATGTCAAGAACTCTTTGTCTTATTTTACATTTGCTTACACAGAAAAGTATCTGACTGTGTTATTGATTTGCTCCCTCCACAGCCATCAACATCACCCGGCCCAGGTTCAGCGGGCTGGACGAGTTTGGGTACACGTCCTACATGGCGTACCCGCCCATCCCCAGCATGAGCTCCTTCTGCGAGTTCAAGCTGAAGCTGACGTTTGCTAGTAACATCTCTGCCCTGAAGGACAACCTAATTCTCTTTTCTGGACAGAAGGGACAAGGTGAGAGGAGATGAGGGTTAGACCACACGCAGAGGGTGAGGACAGGGCTATTACAGCCACTGAAAGGACCTACGCTTTTTGACATGTTCTGAAATCATTTTCTTTTTAAAATGTTTTCAACCAGTAAGCAGCGTTGAGATTTAACAGAGTACAAGTATTGGGAATATATACAATTAGGTATCTGTATTTAGCCAAAGTTACATTTTTAAAGGCAGTGTTAAAAGTTTAGGAGAGGATTTTTAAAAGTTAAACACTAAATTAAACAAATATATACCAACTTTAATAGAAAACCTCAGTGCTTGTTTACTATTTTAAAATCAGTGCTTATGATACTGTCAAATCATTGTTTAGGCAGAACCTGCTCAACATACCAAGGAAGATGCTTTGATGAACATCAAGCTTGTTCCCAAAATATTAGCGGATAGCTGTTTTATGTTTGCAGACGGGCAGGATGCTGGCCCTAAGCCAGAGTGGACTGTCCAGACAGTGACCGATAATGTTTACTGGGAAAACTACTTGAGTACAAGAAAAAAAAGGAAAACTACAGCGAACCTTGGCTCAGCCAATACAAATTATACAAGTACATTCCTCTCTCAAAGAAAGGTGGACTCTAAAATTGGTGTATTTGTTATTTACTTGAAAAGTTACAGCTGAAGTCAAATATTTCTTGAAAAATTTCAAAGAAAACCAAACTATGCTCAAAGTTTTGATTGTGAAAACATAAAAGAAGTGCTCTTCTTTTCATTTCCAGATGCACTTGCTCCTCTCTCCTCCAAAACTAAAGTCGCCCGTTGATACGAAGCCTCGCTGCCTCCGCTCTCGTTAATTAGGCCAATCCGGATCCGGGAGACGAGGTGGGGCTCGGAAAGGCGTCCGTCGGCTCGTCCCCAATTTCTCCTGAGGTCACCGGTGGCGACTGCTGAGTGACATGTCAGCGCTCGCGGGCCATTTAATCAAAAGACAGACAGGCGAAAAAGAGCGCGAGAGGGCCGTGAATCTTCCGTAGTTCAGCGAGCCTCTCCTGGGATTACAGTTTAGGGTGATTCATCGAGGGAAAGGCAGAAGAAGACAGCGGTATGAATAATGAAGCAATTGTCAGGGGAACCAGCGCGGTACAGTAGAGGACAGATTTACCAAAAAGTAAAGAGAGAGAGAGAGAGAGGGAGAGAGAGATGGGACGGCAGCCGTTCACCTGATAATTGGCCTGATAAATTGACACGTTCGTTGCGTCAGTTTGGTGCAGTGTTAACACTTCAGACATGAAAGGGTGCTCTGATGTTTTGCAAATCCTTTACAAGTCCTGTGGGGTTTGGCAAAATTTTGGCTGCCCCGGTCACCTGGTCAAATGACGCTCTGTTGATTATCTAAGTAAAACCAAAGCCTTGGATTCACTATGCAACTTCTAAAGTCTTAACAGATTATGAAGACTGGGTATCTCACACTGTCCGACTGGTTTTTTCAGATTGTTATGGCCAACTGAAATATTGACGTTTAGGGATCACACACTACTCAACTTTTAAGCTGTTGGTGAACTCACGGAACTGTCACGAACTCTCCCGTTACTAGGAGACACAAATAAACAAACGTGGAGCTGCTGCTGCTGTTTTCTCTGCCGTTTGTGCTGAAGCAGTAAAGAAGCAGCAGGTAAACATGTTTGAGTGAGGATAATAGATTTAAAATGTGATTAGTTTGGTATTTTTAGAGTTTTAAATGTACATAAATGTACAACGACTCAAACTAAACAGACTCCACAAACAGCCAGTGAAACCTGAGAGCAAGAAAGAAGAAAATACAGCAAGTAAACAAAGAAAAATGATGGGAAGTCTCTCACGTGTGGAGTGAGTTTAAGGCACGATCGAGTTTATGTAGATTTAAAACTCTAAAAATACCAAACTGACCACATTTTAAACCATAATCCTCACTTGAACATGTTTACCTGCTGCTTCTTTACTGTTTCAGCACAAACGGCAGAGAAACCAGCAGCAGCAGCAGCTCATGTTTGTTTATTTGCGTCTCCTAGTAACGGGAGAACGTGTGAGTTCACGAGAGTTCGGTTGAGCAGCAGCTTAAAAGTTGAGTAGCGTGTGATCCCTGATCGTTTAGTGTTGATCCCCAGTATTTCAGTCGCCCTGGTCTGCAGAAACCAGTCAGATAGTGTGAGACGCCCAGTCTGTCATGTAGTGAACCCAAAGCTTTACACTAGATTTCGCTCACAGTCGTGTTAAAAAAATCACGTCTGATCAACTACGACTGGTCTGAAACACGATCGAGAGGCCAAAAATCTGAGTCTGCGCCCCTCAAACACGACTCGACTGTCTCTCCAACTGTCGACTCCGACTGACCCAAAAACGGCAGACTAGAGCCGACCAGCTCAGACTCGGCCAGACTGAGAATCGGGGTCGTGAAGTGTAACCCTGGCTGAAGTTAACACGTCCTCTACACACTTCTGCACATTCTAAAACACATACTAACTGAATTTGACACACTGCAAAAAAGAAATCATAATACATGGCCTGTGCAAAAGTAAGAGCACATTTTTAACATTTTATATTTTCCAATTCTTCAAACTCAGCAAACGTAGTAAAAGTGTCAAAATGCTGTTGAAAGTGTTTAAACTTATTTTCATCCATTTGAAAGCTTTCAGGCCCAATTAAGACATGTAAATAATACATTAAGCTTTGTTAAAGCTGCTTTACCCCATTGTGCTCTGTCCCAAGCCTCCCTCGTAGAGCCGACACAAACTGATATTATTCACAGCTGGTGGCAGTCAGAAGTTAACCGAGCAGTGTGAATGTCTAGTGTGGAACTATTTTAAAGTAAAAAATGACAACAGGCAGTTGTAATATCTGCAGTGCCAGTGTCTCGACTGTGATTTAGCTGGCTGCCTTTCGTCAAAACACATTAAACTGGGCTCCCGAGTGGTGCAGCCATCCACACGGTGGCCCTGTTGATGGGAAATTGCGGTTTCTCCCCAGCGATGCCACCTTCCTCTGATTATACGCACTCAACGCTAAGAGTAACAGTGTGTTCAAAGCAGAGAGAAGTGCAGCCTGACTTACAGCATATTAGAGCGATCATGAAACACTGATGTAGCATATTAATGACACATGAAATGGTTATTTCCTAAAACACAAAGTGTAAAAGTTCAGATAGAGAACTGAGAGTTTTGAACTGATGGTTGGTCACATTGGGCCCATTTGAGTTTCAGGTCGGGCTCTTGTTTGTTTTCCAATGAGTCATTTTATTTTTTTGTTCATTTGTCGATCAACTTAATCACTTAGTAATAAAGCAAAGCGCTGTAAACACATATCTGTGATGATTTAGCAGTAGCAGCCGTGACTGGTCCAGGTGGGTCGGGTCTCGAGGTCGCCGGTGTGGGTGGATTCGGGCTTTAATTTCATTCTTGTGCAAACCTCTAATGCACATTCTAATTCTAAAAATTAAGCGATTTTACTTCAGAGTTTTAACGTTATTGGCATAAATGGGATTAACTGTGGTTTTACTAACTTTAGTGTAGCTAAGTGTCAACTGTTTGGCTGACTTGTCTACAAAACACAAATAATGATAACAAATAATTCTAAATTTCTGCATTAACAAAATTGTCTAGTGTGGTTTGGTGTGAAATGGTTCGGATTTCTTTACAGTGGTGGTGATAGGAACCAGGGGTCGCCATGACTACAACACAGATATAGACATTTTATTTACTATCCAGAACCCCCAGTGAACCTACACGAGTCTTCTGAGTTTATATGGAATGTTGATGATGGAAAATAGTGGCAAATCTGAAATAATAAGTTTTCTTTGGGGACTATTTTGCCTCACAGCGCCCTGCATGTATCCCTCCACCATGAATGGAGTTTAAGTTCTCTAAACTATCATAAAACAGTGTCTCAGTCATCAGGCAGTGAATTCATAACCATTTCATGTAGGAACTTTCTGTGAGGGAGCTTTTAGAGGTGGACGTCTGGTTCCTATCACCACCACTGTGAACAGTTCTGACTCGGTACGTTTCTCTACACACTTAAAAAAGGATCTTCAAGTGTTCTTTAGTAAAATGGTTCTAAAAAGATCCATGAACATTCAGAAAATCCTTTGCCATGAAATGGTTCTTCAGATAAGTGGAGAATGTGTTGTATATGGTTTTATATAGAAATGAGTTCTATATAACACCAAAAAAAAAGCTTCTTCTATTGTTACCATGTCAGGCTTGTATACAATAGAAGACCCTTTTTGGTGCTATGTAGAGTTTTTTTAGTAAAGGAAATGGTTCTATATGGAACCATGAACATTCAACAAACTTTCATGGTTCATATAGAAATATTTTCTTTACTGAAGCGTAAGGAACACCAAACCACTCTGAATGTTTACATCTCAATTACCTAATTATGGAGGAAGTTTTATTTAGAAAAATAGCTCGAATTCCCTTTTAAATGTTCTAGATTGGGAAGAAAACTAGATTGGAACAACTCTAACTGTGCTGTCCTGCCCCAAAGGTGTCAGTGGAGACGACTTCTTTGCCCTGGGCGTGAGGAATGGACGAATCTTCCATAAGTACAACCTCGGCTCTGGGGTGGCTACTATCGTCAGTGACCGGCTGAGCTGGAGGATGAAAATACACACCGTCCAGTTCGGACGGTATCTCAGGAACGGGTGGCTGAAGGTGCTTCTACCTTTTCTCAGTTACAGGCAACATACATGCATGCATGTGCTCTCCTCTCCTCTGTGCACTTCCACCGCAACAGCTTGTAGCCCTTTGTTACACTGCTGTTTCAAGTCATCTGAGCCATTGGAGAAGGACAAAACATTGGGCCTCATTCACCAGTATCTTCCTAAGTGTGTTCCTAAATCTGTTCTTGAGGAAGGTCCTAAGAAAAAGTCTCCGTCAGATTCATGTCGTGTTCTTAAAGCGCAGAACTGTTCTCACCTCTGTGCTCTTGAGTGTGTAGATTCTGTTCTTACCTGAAAACAAATCCCACCTAAGAGAACATCGGTGAGAATCTTCCTAAAAACTGCGTGTTTTAAGAAAATAGTTCTTCTTAAGAACGGTTGGTGAATGAGGCCCAATGTTTACATCTCTTGTTTTTGTCATTTTTTGACTTATATAAATCTAATATAAATCAATGTAAATCAAATGTAACACATTATGTAAATATCTGTGTAATTAATTGTGGAATGTAAGGAAACATACTCAAAGGTATTTGCTTAAAAAATCAGCATTGGATAGTTTAGATTTGACCAATATTTCAAACATATATTTGATGTATTTAATGAACTTCAGAAGAGCAGAATGTTGAGGTTTAATTGGGCTATTTCGCTACAGAAATTAGTTTTTTATTTGTCCATAATACTAATCCAGGCAAATAAAGTACATGAAAAATATCAGATTACGGCATCGGCCCAAAAACTCCCTATCGGTGAATCCCTACCTGTAAAGGTTTAGAGGATTTAAGATGTACAATGCTGTTTTATTCATTTAAACCTGGTAATAAACATCAGAAAATTTAGCAGCTTGAAAATGTTAACACAAAGAAAAGTTAAGACAATTAAAATGATGAAGAAATATTAACATTTCTGCTCTATTTCTGGGTCACTATTCAAATTGCAGCGAGTTTGTGAAATTGACCATGTTAAGGCCTTCATACTAAAAGGTCAGATAATTTTCAGATGCCTCTCAGGTGGATTTGATCTGCTGATCAGAGACTTTTATAAAACGTGGAGTTCATGCATCTTGAGTGCACGCTAACCACGTTTACATGCAGCCTGATAATCCGTTAATAATCCAACTCAGTGGGAATAGAATGCGTCCCTGTAAACACCTCAATCAGAATACTCTAGTCAGATTGAGGCCATTCAGAATACAGTATTCTATTCTATAGAAGAATAATATCAGTGTAAACGCCTGTATCTGATTACATTCCCTATCGGAAAGTCTAAGTCCGTTCTGATCGTGTTCGTCACGTCACAGTGAAAGTTTATACCGTTCAACATGGCGGAGCAGAAACTGGTCTGCAGAGGAGACGAAGTTTATGCTCTGATCTTTAAAAGACGGCGGTGGGACGGACGTCCAGCTTATGTGTCTCAGAACACGACGTCTTCCTCTCGGCCTTCTTTAATAAGGACATGTGAAGGACGTTTTGCTGAGTCTGACATCATTTTAAAGCAGTTAAAAACACAAGCACTGCTCACTGCTGCTCATCTCACTCTGACTGGACTCACGTGATGCTGGTTGACATGGTAACGTCTACACTGAGTGGTTCTCTACGAATGCATATAAGTTTGGCTCAGATTACTTAGTAGTAAGTACTGTAGTGTGAATGTAAACGGAGATTTTCATCAGATTAGTGAGTAGAGTGAAAATAAACACCTCAGTCTGAATCTATAATCAGAATGAATTCAGTCAGACTGGAGAAAATAAATGCTGAAATTCATGTAAACATTCACAGCTTCTCCTTTTCACTCAGATTATTATGCTGCTAATGTCATTATTAATGAAAAGCTTTCATTAAATTAGAACGTAATGCAAAATAGAAGCATTTTACCAGTGCTGCCAGACCTTTGGCCCCTCTGTATGCTCAGAACTGAAAAGTTTTTGAGGACCCCCGCCAAGCGAAAACATGGCCTTGACGGCCTTTTGTGAAGTGCTCTCTGATTTCTTTCCGTCAGCTCGTTCAAACACAATGCCAGACTTAGGTGTTTGAAACCAGCGCTGTTGATTTGGCGCGGTAACCCTTACAGCGCAGAGCTGCTGCTGTTTTCTCTCATACACGATTTTTTGTGTGCTTGTCAAAAACAGGTCAAGGTAGTTTGAGCGAGTGGTATTGACCCCAGCCGGGAAACAGATTGACATCCAAAGTCACTCTTGCTGTTTAATGGATAACTTATTACCATAATCGTGCGTACTCAGGTGGACGGGCAAAGGAACAAGACTGGCTCGACCCCGGGCCATCTGGCGGGCTTGAACACCTTCAGTCAACTGTACGTGGGCGGCTACAGCGAACACACCCCAGAGATGCTGCCTGTGGGCTCCAGATTCAAGAGCAGCTTTCAAGGTAAGACAATAAGCCGGCCAGCTTCGTGCCAGTTATGTTAATTATGATAATGAACGTCCTGACGTTTGTTTATTGAATATCGAGTATGTGCAACACGGCATAATCTTTAACGACATTTTACACCAGTGAAGCTTACTTGCTTCAGCGGCGCCATGAGCTCCATTTCAGTTTCACAATGCAGCTCAGGGGGCGAATCCAATTTGCAATAGTTAAATAAAATCTGCATAGAGATTTTACGAGCGCGCGTCAGTCAGCGCTTTTGCATTCACAGTTACTCTCCTTAATTGGCCCAATGGAGTGGAACCCACGTCTCTCGTATTTACCCAGAGAATCTCCTCTCCTTTTCTGAATTTAGGAAGAGGGGCTTTTATCAGAGATGAATTATGGAAAGCTAGTAAAATAAGGTTTTAAGAGGGTGAGCTGTTGAGGAGAAACAGTTGCTTAAATAATGGCTCCATCCACCTTATTCCAGTCACATAAGCCATCATTACAGTGTGTCTGAGTGACCCTAACCGCATTATGTGGTCCAGGTGCAACACATCACTCCAGCTTAACGCACCAAAGCAGCCGCAGTAATAACTATTACATGTCTAATGGCTAATACATATCATTGTTTTGTTTTGTTTTCTGTAGCAGTCAAGCCTCACTTACAGCGGTCATTCATTATTTACTGTGAAATATTGCAGCATGTAAAAGCCCGAGCAGTCATCGCATTACAATCACTTGTGTTTGCCGGTGGTACATTAATTTGGTCCCACTTTATATTAAGTGTCTCTAATAAATGAACAACATATGCAACAACAATGTAACTACTAATGATTTAGTTACTGTTATAGATGGATTACAGCAGTACACCTTATGTAATTACACAAGTGTATGAACTTCAGTTTTGCCTCATGTAATTACACAAGTGTATCTTAATAGCTGTAACAGTCTGTTTTCTCCCATGTAATTACATAAGGGTAGTAACACAAGTGTAATTACATCTGTAATAAGACTGGAACAGCATTTTCTTTTAGAAAATTTTTCCAGCAGTAAAAGGAAGTTTGTAATAACTTACATTAAGACATTACTTACACTGTATCTGCCTGTGCAGAAGATAAACATGTATAATTACATTAAGCAAAGCTGAAATTGATACACGTGTAATTACATAGGCTGTGCACCACCTGTAACATTGCCTAAATCATCAGTAGTTACAATGTTGTTCCATGTGGTATTCATGTGTAATTACAGTTATTAGAGACACTTAATATAAAGTGGGACCATGAATTTTAGTATAATGTCATGCATGTGGCACAACTAGGTAACCAGACAGCTTCATTCGGACATTTCCGGTGGCTTCACAGGTCTGTCCTGAAACGCTGAGAACCAGCAGTGGTGAACTGTGACTTTAAGAGTTCTTTAATTTGAGCCATAAATAGCAAAACTTGGTTAAAAAAATTGGGAAAACAGTACCTATGCAATAATGGCTAGCACCCCTGTGGGATATTAGTAGTTTATTAGCACTAAGCTGACTTATCCTTGTAGCAGTTTCATAGTGACATAGTGATCTAAAGCTGCTGCCACCGTTTTCCATTTCTAACAGCCCACACATCAGGCTACCATTCGTGTTCACGGTCAGTGACGTATCTAGAACTTACAGACTGCCTAGAGTGATGGATTTCTCACAAAAGTGGTCTCGACTATTCTAAATAAAAAAAATTATCTATTGATTCATTTGTCGCTTCCTAATTATGCAAATAGTTAATCTAATGCATTGACTTCTCTTTAGCTCCTGAAGTCCTAACCAATAGGAGAGCGTGCTTAGCTGTATCTACCTAGATACCAAAGAGAAAAACAAAAACAATTTTTTGTTTGTCGTTTGAGGAATCTAAAACTTTTCTTTACATCAAAAACTTTAATAATGAAACGAGCAGTACTGTAATACCGGCATAGTTAAAAAATAAATAATTCTGTTGAACAATTTTACAAAAAATTATAGACATGCGCTTTTAATTCCCAGACGTTTTCTCTGGGAATTTTCCCCGAAAGCCTAGAAGGGCCTGCAGGCTCCCGTCTGAGAACTAGGGATGTCCTGATCTGAAAGATGAGTATACATTAATGGATTGATGTTGGCTGTATTAACCCTCATCAAATTGTGATTCTTTGTTAGGGCTGTTTTAGCATGTTGCAGTATTTTTATTCCACTGTAGAGGATAAAGGTTTGCACAGGTATGAAATTGATGCCCCAAACCGACCCGTACGCACCATTTTAAAACCAAACCCAACCAGGCCCAACTGGTACTGCTAAATCTGAAACTCACACCTGTCCCAAACCAGCAAGTAGAGAATTATTGCAGACATGGTCGTTCCGTACTTTGCTTTCTTAATAAGCGCCGCCGAAAATTTAATGCAGGGAATATACACATCTGTCATATACACTAACAGTATTTATTATCAGTATATTTTTATTGAATTTTTGCTCCTGCCAGAGAACAGCATACACCCACTGCTGAACGCATCTGGAGAAACTTGAGGGTAAAAATATGCTGTGACCTCAACCAAACACATCCCTTTCATCCCCCATGTTTTCATTCAGGGGCACGTTCACCCACTCCTCAAACTCTGTCTGATTTCCAAATGCTCCTGACAAGAAAATGTATAAAAGTGCACAAAATCTGCTACATAAAAAATGATTAGAAAACAAACCCAACCCAGTCCCAAGCCTGAGCTGACCCCGATCCCATTGTTGTATCTGAAAAATTGGCCAATGCAGACACCCTAGGCAATTGCCTGCTCCGTCTATAGCTGGCGCCAACCCTGCCACCTCTACTAGAGGTCTAATACCTGACCCAGGTCAGGTGCTAGGCCTCTTGTAGTGAAGGTAGGGTCATCACTTGGCACTAGGTAACCAACTGACTGTATTCTCTAAACAGCTGGAGCTAGTTGAGCCAATTGGTTACCTAATAGAGCCAAATGCCGACGCTGCCGCCTCTACTAGAGGTCCCAACCCAGGTCAGGTACTAGGCCTAAACAATTGCCTCTTCCTTCTATAGCTGGCGCCAACCCTGCCACCTCTACCAGAGGTCTCATCCCTGACCCATCTCAGATACTCGGCTTCTGGTAGAGGACGCAGGATCATCACCTGGCACTAAGTAAACAACCGATTGCTCAGTAAACAGCTGGTGCTAGGAGAGCCGATGGGTTACCTAATAGAGCCAAATGCTGACGCTGCCACCTACTTAAGGTCTCGTACCTGACCCACTATAGATGCAACTGCTGTGGATGGAACAGGCAAATGCCTCTATATCATGACTGTACATCAAGGGCGTTCGTGTCAACCTGTTTTTCAGTAATCTACACTAAAACAATTTGAGATCTAAGAGCTCCCCCTTGTGGAGAAACATCAGCATGCTAAACATGTCCGAGTGAGTTACAGGCCAACTTACTCACCCAGAGTAAAATCTTGCCTTGGCCTCCTGTAGGCTGGAGCACATTTACAGAAGCACTTTAATTGTCTGCAGTGTGGAACTATTTTAACGTATAAAATGAAAACGGCCCCAAAGCTACTTGTAATATCTGCAGTGCCAGAATTTTGGTTGCGGCTAAGCTTGGTGACTTTCCCCAACGATTATCTGCATGTAAAATCTGAGCGTGTGGCTGTTACACCCTGAATAATAATTTCGAAGTGAAGAGAAATCCAGGTTGCCAGGTTTCTTTGGAATGGGCTATTTTTCTCTGCATAACTTTGTCTACCTCTGAATTGTAATAACCCTACTAAGAACCTTTTTCCCCCTGCTATCCAGAAACAATGCTCAGGCCTGTAATACGACTCCCCGGGCCGTCCCCCACGCCCCTAATTGCGATAGCTACCGGTAACTGCACAGCTAATGCGCTCCACAGGCGGTTATCAGCATCTCCGGTCCCCATGGAGCTTTGTCAACAAACACAACGCCATTAGAAAGCAACACTTTCTCAATGCAGTGTGATCACGTGTTGAGATGTTTATGTTACCACATCACGGGGGGGGGGTTAGCACATACAATTACCAGCCTTAGCTGCAGCAGACTGCGACCCGCAGGCAGTGGGGGCAAAAAGTAGCCTGTTTAAGTGGAATACTGAAAGCTCATTTGTGGAAATGACTGTCACTGCTGCAGCTTCAGTTACACTGGAGGCTGTTCATTTGATTGTGGAGTACTGCACACCTATCGCTTCTCTCTTAGTCTTCTGTTAAGTGGCCAGTCGTTGGTTATGTTGTAAGCACCAATCAGGCATAACATTATGACCACCTCCTTGTTTCTATACCCCCATGGAACCTCGCAGAGCAGGTACTATTTGGGTGGGGGATTATTCTCAGCAGTAACACTGACGTGGTGGTGGTGTGTTAGTGTGTGTTGTGCTGGTACGAGTGGATCAGACACAGCAGTGCTGCTGGAGTTTTTAAACACCTCAGTGTCACTGCTGGACTGAGAATAGTCCACCCACCAAAAATATCCAGCCAACAGCGTCCTGTGGGCAGCGTCCTGTGACCACTGATGAAGGACTAGAGGATGACCAACACAAACTGTGCAGCAGCAGATGAGCTATCGTCTCTGACTTTACATCTACAAGGTGGACCGACAAGGTTGGAGTGTCTAATAGAGTGGACAGAGAGTGGACATAGTGTTTAAAAACTCCAGCAGCACTGCTGTGTCTGATCCACTCAGACCAGCACAACACACACTAACACACCACCACCACGTCAGTGTTACTGCAGCGCTGAGAATGATCCACCACCCAAATAGTACCTGCTCTGTGAGGGTCCATGGGGGTCCTGACCACTGAAGAACAGGGTAAAAGGGGGCTAACAAAGTATCAGAGAAACAGATGGACTACAGTCTGTAACTGTAGAACTACAAAGTGCACCTATATAGTAAGTGGAGCTGATAAAATGGACAATGAGCGCAGAAACAAGGAGGTGGTCATAATGTTATGCCTGATCGGTGTATATCCAATCCATCATGCCCTGTGGATGGGGG